GGTGCAACCATTATAGAAAACAGTATGGGGATTCTTCAGAAAACTTGGAATGGAACCACCATTTGACCCAGCTATCCCACTCTTTGGTTTATACTCAAAGCACTTAAAATCAGCGTACTACAGTGATGCAGACACATCAATGTTTATAGCAGCTCAATTCACGATAGCCAAACTATGGAACCTACCTAGATGCCTTTCAACAGATGAATGTATAAAGAAAATGTGGCATATATACACAATGGAATATTACTCAGACTTAAAGAAGAATGACATTATGGCATTTTCAGGTAAATGGATGGAGGTAGAAAATAATATACTAAGCAGAATAAGCCAATCCCGAATGTTTTCTCTGATATGTGGATGCTAATTCATAATAAGGGGGTGGGGCTAGGGAAGAATAGAGGTACTATGGGTTAGAGGGGAGCAAAAGGAGGGGAGTGGGTATTGGGTTAGAAAGGATAGTAGAATTATTTGGACATTGTTATCCTATGTGTATATATGTTTACATGACTGGAGTGATTCTATATCATGTACAACTAAAAGAATGAGAAGCTGTACTCCATTTATGTATGATGTGTCAAAATGCATTCTACTGTAATGTATAACTAATTAGAACAAAAAAAGTAGACCTTTCAAAATTACTTATCTGAATTCACAACATTTGGAACTAAAGTTGTTTTCTTAAAGCTATACTAATTGTTGACTAGAAACCAAATGTGTTTATTCACTAAAGCACGGTCAGTTAGGAAACATGAAATCATTAAAGCACATAGACAAATACAATGACCTATCCTGAAAATGAAAATTGCAAAAAAAAAAAATGTAGTAAAATTAAGTGGATTATAATCATTTAAGATCTATTTAAATGCTTATGATATAGAGCTTCTCATCATAGTAAAAACATAAGCAAATTATATCACTCATCTCAAAACTAGGAATAGTTTATATAAATAGCTAATGTGAATGCAGTATTTGTGCCACTAATGTACTCAATAAAATTAAAAATCAATAAAAGGAAATGTAAACCTTGCATCTGCACCATTAGTATGTGTGTGAGACAGAGGAAGAATAAATCAAAACTATTAGTGTACAACAGATGGCCCAAGAATGAGCCAATGTTTATATTTTGACAAGAGGAAATTTTTGACACTTAATACAAACCTGATAATGCTGGCAAGGTCAAGAGAGAAAAAATTAGCTTGAAATTCTAATAAGTGCAAACTGAAGTTTTGCCTTAGTATATACTTATCATATCAAACTCTGCAGGAAGCCCCCACTGTAAACATGCCCAGTTGACCTTTGCCTTGTCTTTCATTCACACACACAAAAGTATTGAATTGAACTATACTAAACTGTTATGATTGTGGGTAAATTTTTATCAGTAATTTGGAAAGCTTCAACCTAACAGTTACATACAACTCTCTTTCTTAAAAACATACAATTAATTTTTAGTTTCTTGGTCCAGATGGTTTCTTATAATATTTTCCTAAGAATAAAAATAGTAGCTTCCAAATCTTTCTTCTCTCTTGAGACTTGCAGGGAAAAGTGTTTCTAACCAGGTCAGGATTGTTTTCCTTAGAGAAAACTGGTAGACAAATGTTGGTTACATGATTAAAACAGGTATAGGACCATTTTATCTTTGATCTAGTACTTTATTCAATAATGTGAGCTAATCAAAGTTCAAAACTTTATCAGCTCGAATAGAGAGATTTTTCAAAGACTGGGAAATGTGTGAAATAAGTTAGGATTCCTGAAATTGGTTATCAATCATCATTATTGAGTGCCAATAGTGCAACAATTTTTCTAAAAAGTCTTATTAAGGAAAAAGATCAAACACTAAAAAAGTTCACCATTTGAGAGTTTGTCAGATATAATGTTTGCAAGATGTTTCATTTAGAAAATTTACTTTGCCCAGCACTGCTGGTAGAAAGTAAATTTTCTGAAGATTAAATTGTATCCTACAGATATACTACCACAGCAAACCACAGGAGGGCAGAGAGAAAGGTCTGTGGCTACAGCAAATTAAGTCAAGTTTTCTGAGAAAAGAAATATTAGGAAATATTTCAAGAAAAAAATTTAAACATAGATACATCAGAGAATTATTTTATTTTTGTTGGGAAAAAAAGGTAAGGGGGGGGGTGCTGGGTTGAAACAAAATTATTTTTAAAGTCCTAGGCAGAGATTCAAGCAGTCCCAAACTCCACATGGATGTGTAAGTTAGCATGGCAGGGTGGGAAGAAAGCACAGGAAGATATTTCATATCAGTGATTCTACAGCTTTCTGGAAGGGAATTAATAAAAGGAGTCCCACTTAATTCATACTTCTAAAGTTCTCTCTCCTTGTATGACCTTGGTGTTTTGGATATTGTCCCAATATTCTCTGCAGATCTGGATCCTTTTCTTTCCAAGAAAATTTTGATCTTGGTTTCAAACAAATAGGAAGGACTATAAAATGTCACTAGAGTACATTTTAGTAAAGACTGGTTTTTCCAAGGCAAATTGCAAAGTAAGAAAAAGTATGTCACTTAAGTTTAATGCCCTTAAAATTTTAATCATTATCTATAGTAATCTGATTTTCCTACCTTAGTGAATAATTTTTTATCAGGATCTTGGGTTAGCAAAACAGCAAGTGAACCCTTGCTCACTCTGGAAGTTGAGCTTTATTCCCATCTATCAACCCAGTTAAGAACAGAGCTATAGTACTACACAGACCTGTTCTGTAATCCAGAGTTCTTTTCATATCACACAGGATGTACTGTCTAGAACTTAGCAGTTTTCTTCATTTTCATCATATAGTTCTGAGATTCTACTCAGTTTTAAAGTGCATTTTTGAGATATAATGCACAAGTAGGAAATAAATGAAAATTCCATTTTCATTGTTGGTCAAGAGTGTTCCAGAAAGAATTTCGTATAAATTTCAGGTTAAAGCTTAAAAGTCAAACTAAAGAATAACAGTATGAATTTTTAAGTTCTATACTAATAAGGTAGTCTTCAGAAAACATTTACTCTTATGGTCAAAGGAACTATACAAAAAAGTGAACATAGTGACACTAGATTATTATAAAATAGAAGTTCCTAAAGAAAGATGCATATCAGAGTAGTCTAAGGGACTTTATAATATAAATAACTAGGTGCCCCATCCTGTACATTTTTTTTTTAATATGGTAGGTCTGAAGTGGGCTAAGCACCTCTGTTGATTCTGATGCAGATAGTTCCAGGACTCTGCTTTCTCAAGCACTGGCCAGTGTGGCACAGACAGAGGTAAAAAATGTGGACTCAGGAGCCACTGTCAGGGTTTGAATTATGTTTCTACTACCTAATTTCTAGCTGTAGTATCTAGAGCAAATTCCTTAATCTCTCTATGCCCTCATTTTTCATCAATAAAATAGGAAAGTAACCAAAAAAAATTGCAAGGATTGTTTGTAAAGATTATATAAGTTAATATTTTAAAGCACTTGGAACAGTGGCACGTAGAAAGCACTATTTTAAGTGTTTGAGAATTTTTTTTAAGTCTGAGATCAGGGAAATCCTTGAAAAAACATAATAGGGAACACCAACATGGACACCTTTAGAGGAAATCTAGATTTGTCTAAATTATTCCCCTCAACTCCATAGTTGGCTGAATAAGAGAGAATGGTAGGAACTCATGAATGATCCAAATTCTAGCCTGGGGAAAAAAAAGTTCTTTGTAAATTTGACCCCTACCTTTCTGTCCTTCTCTTTCCATCATGACCTCTCTTCTTTTCATAAATAGTAATACCAGCTGTCATAGATACCCTCCCTGAATTCAGCCAGGAAAAGCCACCCCAATCTCCTACATTTTACTTCCTTTCATTTAAAAATTACAGGGAAAAATACTTGAAGCACAAAGTATTCAAAACCTCCACTGTATCTCTGGGCGCTTTCCAAGGAGTTTTCTTTTTTTCTTTCTTTCTTTCTTTTTAGCACTGATAGATTGTATATATGGTAGAGACAGGGTAATTGATTAGAAAGAGAGGAGAAGCTAATTTGGTTTAAATTTTAAGAGGTATGAGTTAATGGAGAAAACAGTTCTGGAGGCTAGAAAGAAGGAAAAGAAATGGGTAAAGAGGTCCAGCCTGAGCTGTGGCCTTGAAATGGCAGAAGAGACTGGGTTGGTCCCTACATGTAGCGTATATGTAGGGAATACAGATGGAGGGTTGTGGGAGAAAAAACATCTTTGGGAATTTTGCTATCTATGGCTAAAAAGGGGGCCAGCCAAAAGTCCACTATGGTATGAATTATAGAGATAAGGAGCCTTTTCTTCTGTGGAGACTTCATAATGGTCTGGCAGAGAAGCATTTTAAAAAATCAAATTAAATCTTAGCCTCCCCCCGAAAACAAAAGGTTTTCATAAGCCTAGATATTTGAAGAATTTGGGCAGCCATTATCTGTAAGACAGATACCTTTATCTGCTCTCCCCTCTATTGCCATGTGTCTCATCCCTCCTGATCCCGCCAGGCCCACCCATTCAGTTAGCTCCTGCTATGACCTGTTGTACTTTCCGCCCAGCCTCAGACTAGTCTGCTCTCCTGCCTGTAGTATTTCTCTTTCCCCCTCTGAAGGGTCACAACTATTCCTAATGGCTCTTCAGGTCTAGCTCAGATTAATGTCATCTCTGGAAATGTGCTCTTGCTACTGGCCTCCATAATGGTGTCTTCAATTGTTTCTTGTGGTTTGACAAGGTAGCTGTCATGTATCCTAACTGGGTTACAGATGCTCAAAGATTTGGGAGAGAGAGGATATAGAAGAGACTCTAATATAAAGTATGAATTAGGAGAGACCTAAGCCAAGTTTTTAACTTGATATTCCTGAATTTAATATTAGTAAGTCAATACTTAGATTTTGAATTTACTAATACTTTTCATTTTGGTCATGTGAATTTCAAATTAATTTCCTCAAAGTTTTAAACTTTGATACTTATAATATGAGCTGCTGCTGGCTATCTGGTACTTGATTATTTTGTCTATTTGAAGGTATTACCACGGAGTGGGTTTCTGTGGGGAAAATATCTACAACTACAGAACTCTGAAGTGGGGGGATCCATACTTTCTCTCCCAGCTTTCTGGCAATGGGACACAGACACGTGATCTAAACATGTCCATGCCTCTAATCCCAGTGACCTGGCAGGCTGAGGTACGCAGATTGCAAGTTCTAGGCCAGGTGGGACAACTTAGTGAGACCCTGTCTCAAAATTTTAAAAAATAAAATAAAAAGGATTCAGTGGTAAAGCACCCATAAGTTTAATTCCCAGAAAAACCTCCCCTCCAAAAAAACCAAAGACTTAGCTATTAGTGAATAAAGACTCATATTTAGATTATTTATAGCAGTGATGGTGATATCAGTGCTAGTATCAGTGCTAGTAGCAATGAGGGGGTCCACTGGTGGGTTATCCTAACCCAACTTTCTGAATGGCTATTCTTGGCTGTATAGCCTCTTTTAGTTCTCATCACTGTTCTAAGCCTATTTCCCCAGTCTTCTATGAAGTATGTGAACAAACAGCTTTCCAATAAATTCCTTTTCTGTTTAACATAAGCAGTTAACTTTTTTTTTAACTAAATTACAGAAGGTTTCCATTGTCTACAACCAAGAACCCCAGTTGGCACGATACTGAAACTTCATTTCTCACATTTGATTTTGGTGACTAATGTTTGACCTCATAATGTCCAAAAATTAATTTTAATTTGATTAATCATGGTATTGTTTTAGGTAAGTAAAATACAATAGACTGAAAGAGTCATAAACCAATGGATACACCCTTATCTACTGTTTGATTGCCAAAGTAATAAAATTTGGCTCCATCACTATCATTCTGAATCTGTCTTGATAAATATTACAATCTGATTGTAAACCTAGTTGCTTGCCCCCACTTCTATCTGAAGCACATGACACTTTCAATTTTCCCTCTGTAAACTCTTAGTTCTTATTTCCCTCCAATATTTATTCTCTCATAAATTGATTCATTCTTTCTCTTCCACCCACCATAATATTTATGTGGATTAAATATTGGTATTTCTGATGGGTTATCTTGGTTTTTTTTAATGCCTTTGGTCTTTTGGTATTCTTTCCTAATTCTATGACTTAAAATATACATTTGGCTCATATCTTATCTCAAGATTCATATATATATATATATCTTTTTAACCATCTCTATCAGAATATTCTTTTATGAGAAGGGGAAGAAGGGGATAGCGGGAATTGAATTCAAGGTCTCATGTATACTAGGCATTTGCTCTATCACTGAGCTACACTTCCAATCCCCTGTCTAGGTCTTAAATTTCAATTTATCTTCCTCCTGGGTTTCCTATTTAATTAACTTCACCAATTTCTATTTTGCTAATCAAATTGAAACACAGTGATCTTGGACTCCTCCATTCTCTTACCTTCAACACTAAATATGCTCTTTTCTTATCCCTGAGTTTACATCCACATTAGCTTGTCTTATGTTTCTATCTCTATTCATTTCTTGGTAATTTCATTTAGTCTCGGAGTTTTAAGTATTACCCATATGTTGATGAAACCCAAATATTTCCCGCTTGCTTCACTCCCACTATTCACTATTCAATTGCCTATTCAAAATATCTACTTGACGCCTCAAAGTTAAAATCTCTAAAACCAATCTCCAGATATATCTCTTAAACGTGCCTTTGCCAAGTATTTCCCTGTGCAGTGGCAATACCATTTTTCTTAAGATGTTCCCATATTCCATAATCAATCAACTTATTAATGAAAACTATTAATTCCACTTTCCCACTATATCTGAAAACTAACCATCAATCCAAGCCATCATTATCTACTGTCTATATAGCTGTAATTGTCTCAATGGTCTGCCCCCTTCTAATCTTTTCTCCTGAAGTCTATTTTCATTCTAGTAACCAGAATGATCCTGTTAAAATACAAGTCAAAATGCTTCAATGACTTCCACTCTCGGAGTAAACTTAAAATCATCTCAATGGCTTCTTAAGGCTGTGTATAATTGATATGACCCACCTGCTTGCTTCTCTGATTTTATCACTATTTTTTACTTTTTTGTCAATTATTAAAATGCAGTTAAATTGTCAATACTCTGGAACTCATTCCCATGTACCCATTTTCTCCTCTTTCCATTTCCATTCTTTACCACCTAGAACTATTATGTTCCCATAATCCCTTATATTCGTCACTATTAAAGCAATGAACATACTTTGTGTTTATGTCTGTTTCTACTGGACTATATTTCCTCAGGGTAAGATTTATAATGTAGGGATCCATAGATCTTCTGAAACTGTGTAACACATTCTGTTCAATCTTTAGCAAAATATCTTATAAGGAACAGTTGATATGACCATTTCATTTCAGATTGTTGTTTTCTAACATTCTAGATGTGATTTAACAGAAATGACTAAAAATAGCTCCAATCAGTCTGGGGCTATTCTATTATCATGGCTATTCAGTCAGATCTTTAGAAAACACTCATAAGCTTATTGCTTACAACTGTACTCTTTTCCTAACATATCTCAAATTCCACCAAAACCAATACTATTATCAATCTGTATTCATGGTATGATGAGATATGCTAGAAATGAAAAGAATTAAGGGCTAGTCTATGAAGATAACTTTTAAGAGGTAAGAAGTTTGAAACTTTTGAATCCATAACTCCAGAATATGTTGAGCAAATAATAGGAGCTCATTAAAACTTCTTAAAAATGAATAAATGAATGAATCTTTTTTTCTTGTTGAATGAAGTCTTTAAAGAGCATGAAGTACACTCATTTCAAAAGGTTTATTATATTTAGGCAAATTCATTTTTCATAGAATTTCTTAGCTGAAAAGATGGCAAAAACACACATGCGTAAGATAGGATAAAAAGAGAAAGTTTAGAACTCCCTAGTCCCTGGCACAGAGGTCCGAAAATCCTTGGAATTTTCTGGGTAGAGGCAACTCTTGGTGGGCCCCTGGATGGGGGCTGATCACCATAAAGAAAAAAAACATGATTATAAGTTGAAGTTTTTAGTTCTATCTCCCACTCTCACTCCCCTGATTCTTTGGAGCAGGTGTGGCTCAGTGATACAGCACTCCTGGGTTTAATCCTCAGAACAGTGTGTGTGTGTGTGTGTGTGTGTGTGTGTGTGTGTGTGTGTGTGTGTATTCCATATCTATTGGGTTTGGAGAGCTTTCAGGCTGCTAAACATGTGGAGGTGCCTGGAGAATGGTGTGTCCAGAGTGGCTACAGAAGTTTCACACCTCTTCCTATATATCTTGCTCTATGCATCTCTTCTAACTGGGTATTAATCTGTATTCTTTGTAATATTCTTCATAATAAATGGGTAAATGTAAGCATTTACCTGTGAGTCACTCTAGCAAATTAAATGAACCCAAGTAAGGGGTTGTGGATACTCCTGACTTACAGTCATTCAGTCAGAAGCACAGGTTACAACCTGGAGCTTGTGAGTGGCATCTGAAGTGGGGGGAAGTCTTGTGGAGCTGAGCCTTTAATATGTGGGATCTGACACTATTCAGGCAGAATCAGAATTGAGTTAAACTGTAGGATATCAAGTTGGTGTATGCTGGAGAACTGCTTGGCTGGTGAGGAAAAATCCCCACATACATTTTGGTGACCACAGGTAAAGTGTTGTGTTGAGTGACTGAGACTACAGATTAAAGTTTGTTGTTCTTCTACTGGAAAAAAAATGGAATAAAATAGCTGAATGGAATAGTAGGCCAATTATAAACAGGAATGATAAACTCTTTAAAAAGGGGAACAAATGCCTGTATCAAGTAGGCAAGAAGGTACTATTCTCATTCTGGTAACCAGAATGATCCTGTTAAAACATAAGTCAAAATGCTCCAATGACTTCCACTCTCAGAGCAATCTTAAAATCACCTCAATGGCCTCTTAAGGCTGTGAATAATTGATATGACCCACCTGCTCACTTCTCTGGTTTTATCACTATTTTTTACTTTTTTGTCAATTATTAAAATATAGTTAAATTGTCAATATTCTGGAACTCATTCCAGAATGAAAAAGCCACCAATGGCTGGACACAGTGGCACATGCTGTAATCCCAGTTGCTTGGGGGCTAAGGCAAGATAATTGCAAATTAGAGGTCAACATGGGTAATTTATCAAGACTCTGATTCAATATAAAATTTTAAAAAGATCTGGCAATGTAGTTCAATAGTAGGGCACCTGCCAAGCTTAACTTAACTGGCCTTAGGTTCAAACCCCAGAACATGAAACACACACACACACACACACACACATGAAAAAAGAAAAAGGGAGTGTCTAAGGAGTGAAAGTAAATGCTATATAATAAAAGGAAGTAAAGATATTCAGTTGGATTAAATCTAATCTGTTCTTTGTTAACATACTCATAATAATTAAGTAAAAATATCAAATGGCTGCTTTCTAAAATGTTTTAAAAATTAAACTACCCAAAGCAGTATAATATTTCTATAAAGTTTTTCTATTTTCCAACTTTTGATATACCTGTGACATTCAAAAACCATATCAATATGATATATAGAAATAATAGTAAACTGAAAATATGGTCTCAACTTCTCCAACCTTATCCTATATAATACTCCCTGAATTCTAACAAACTCAACTTATTTACTTTCTTTGGTAAACCACATTCTTCTGTATATCTTTAACTTTGCAGTGAGGTTTCCTGTGTCAGAACTGCCTCTTTTCCGTGCTGGAAATACCTTTTCATCTTACATGACTCAATTTGTGCATTTCTTGTCTTTGAAGGCTATATGATCATTTTTGTCCCCATTCCCTGCAAATTTCAGGTCTCAGTATCATATAGGAGATTTCTGTAAAGGTCTGCAATCACATTCAGAAAGTCAACCAAAATATGACAGAAATGACATAAATTATATTAAACAAAAGCACAGATCATGTAACCCCTGCCTTCACTTAAATAGATAGATGGATGGATAGATGGATGGATGGATGATAGATAGATAGCCGAACAACTGACCAAGCTTGGATTTGGATATAGTTGTGTCAATATTCTAATATATTTTATTCCAATATTCCAATGATCCCCAAATCAAAATAAATGTTTCTAAAGTCAACAAG